TATTTTACAACTACTTCTGTGCATTATTTTTCACATTACATATATCCTATATATTATAAGTATACTATTTTTGTATACATATGTATATTATTTATGTATTTTTGACATGTCTCATACATTTTTAACTAAAAAATCTCTTAAAGTATTTTACCACACTTTTCTCACTTTATTCAAACTACTTCTTATTAATATATCCTATATATCACGCATATATTTATGTATGTCACTTCTATATTTTATATATCTTACACATTTTAATTTCAAATTGTTTTCAAATCACTTTATCCCTTTTTTTAGTCACTTTTATTAACGCCTTTAGCAAGTAATAATGAAAATAAATAATTCCCTAGTATATCTTAGACTAAATATAAGGACTAGCTTTGGATAGGCTCCGAGGTGTGCCAAACACCTTCCTTTGGGAGTAAATAAAATCCTTACCTAGAATTTCAATGATTTTGACAGACTAAAACAAAGTTCACATTTTACAAAAATAATTTTTCTAAAACTCAAGTGGCGACTCTAAAAATATTTTAACTAGGTAGAAGAGTCGGATGTTCCAAACATATTTTGACCAGTTCAAAATTAGGGCTCAATAAATGCTAGTGCCAAAGTGGGAGATGATCAATATGGATTTAGTGATAGGTCTACCTTGCTCATTTTAAAAGCATGATTTGATTTGGGTGATTATGGATCGACTCACCAAGCCGACACATTTTCTAACTATCAGGACAACAGACTCAACAGAAGATTATGCTATGTTATACATCCTAGAGATTATCCGACTATATGGGACCCTAGTGTCCATCATTTCAAATAGAGGCACTTAGTTCATAGCTCACTTTTGAAAGTCCTCTTAAACAGGTTTGGGTACTCGTGTTAATCTACGTACGACATTCCACTAGCAGACGGATGGTCGGGAAGAATGTATAATTTAGATGCTCTAAGATATGTAGAGAGCTTGTGTCCTAGATTTCAAGGGCAGTTGGGATGATCACTTGCCTCTCATTGAGTTTCATATAATAATAGCTACCATGCTAATATCAAAATGGCTCCCTATGAGGCTTTGTACGGAGTAAGGTATAGATCACCCATTGGCTAGTTTGAAGTTAGGGAGGTAGAATTATTTGGGCTAGACTTGGTTCATCAAGTGATTGAGAAAGTCAAGACGATTAGGGAGTGGTTAAGAACAACTCAAAGTCACTAGAAATTCTATGCAAATGTGCAACATAGAGACTTGAAGTTTCTTATTAATGATTAGGTTTGCTTGAAGGTTTCACCTATAAAAGGCATCATGCGATTAAGAAGAAAAGAAATACTCAATTTGAGGTACATTGGCCCTTATAGGATCATGCAGAGAGTCGGGTTGGTGGCTAAAGATGTTATACCCCGTAAATTTCCATAGTACGACCGTTGTGTATGTATGTATATTGAGTATTTTATCATATAATATACCCGAGAGAAGGCTCGGGGGTGAACGCTCGAGTGCGTCGTCAAACGAATGGGAGGCCGGGCATGCTGGGGCCACGTCGAGCAGCCTCCCCCTGCGCACAGGTTGGCGCACCGCACCCTTGGTACTGTGCGATGGGGAGCGCGCCACACCCCCCCTGCCACCGCCCTACTTATATATAAATCCCTTCTTGGTTACATTGAGTCATTCATAACATTTTCCTCGACCAAGAACAGAGAGCAAACAGAAATTTCATCTAATTTTCATCAAGTTACACCATCAAAATCTGTCGGAACGTAAATTCATCTCGGGTATCGAGTTCTAGGCCTATGAAGAACATCCATGCGGAGTTATTTCTTGAAAATTCATTTGGTGTACCAAAACTCCACCGAGTAAAGGTTGTCGTAATTACTTCAAATTGAGTCCTATGCAGCTACAAGCAATAGGTAAGCATTTCTCCCTTCTAGACTCTTGGGAAATTGTGAGTTTCAGGCCGAATTCAACGGAGTTGAATTATAGTTTTTACTATCGAAAGATATTTTTGTTTGTCGAGTTTTAGTATTGGAAATAGCCTTAATATTACCATCATAGCATCTGCCACTGGATGGAATCCCCAGTTTCGGGTTGGAACTAATCCGATAAACGAGAATCGGTATTCAAGGTATGTTAAGGCTATTCCTCTCGGCAAGTTACTCCTATTGTTTAGTCGATACAACCAATACCTTGTAGTATCCTGTGCCTATTAGTATTGTGGTTAGTTGTCGCGGAATAGAATGAGGGTATAGTATAGTATTCCTCGGTGGGAGGTTTAAATCCAGTTTAGGCTATCGCCAGAGGCGACGTAGGATCTTCCTATTCAGTTGTTTACCAATTAGAAGGATTAGTAGGCGTCTTGTTACCACCTCGAGGCCATAGAGGCCTGAGCGGGGATGTTAGCCTATATTGCTAAACTAAGCAGCGAAAGGCATAGTTGGCGACACATTATATAGTTCCACGAAGATACAGTTACAGGAGTCCATACGGCTCAGGTACAGTTACAGGAGCCTAGACGACTCATATACAGTTATAGGAGCCAAGACGGCTCAAATGCAGTTACAGGAGCCCATGTGGCTCAAATAAAATTACAGGAGCCTAGATGGCTCAAATATAGTTACAGGAGCCCAGATGGCTTAGACACAGCTACAGGAGCCCAGATGGCTCATACCCAGATGCAAGAACCTACCAGGCTAGGATACAGCTTCGGAGGGCAAGTATACTGAGTTACAACATGCCTACAAACCTATAGTAGTCCAGATAAGAGGGGTGTGCATTATTTGTACTTGTCGGTGCTTATGGGGGGCCAGGTAGGTTATTCCGTGTTGGTTGTACCTTCCAGGCTTATGGGGGGCCGGTAAGTTCATGTTTGTACATATACTTACTAGTTATATTTCATATTGTGAGGTTATTCAAGTTAAATTAATATCCTCCTTATTGATTACTTTCAGTTCTTCTATTGACTTTATTCATCTTTCATTACTGCCTTATATATTCGATACATATTGTATTGACGCCCATATTTGGGGCGCTGCATTACTTGCCTGCAGGTGTGGATAGACGTGGCTCAGGACCTTCCTAG